TGTAAGCTAACGAAACGGTGGAGTTTACATTGAAGTCTATGCTAAAGCCATTAGCCTCAAAGGTTATCAGTTAGCATTAACATCCAGTGGTTGAATGCAGTGTCTGTTTGGGATAGCTAAAGTGATGTAACCCTTTAAACACCTCAACTAGTACACTTTGGTCTCTTTCCCTTTCTTATTTCAACCTTTTCTCACTTCCTACCACTTTATCCTATTTTACTAGACAGTGAAATACTGACTCACAATTGTTAATTGTGCCAAATTCAAATTTAATTTAATTTTATTTGGAATCATTCAAATTTCCCCCTCAGATCATTTCATATGATCATTATTTCTAGTATTCCCTCTTAGGCCCAATCATCTTAGGTACGAATAAGCCTTGAACTTTTAAAGTGTAAATAAACTTATTCTACCTAATTGATGTTATTACCCCCATCAATAAATTCTATTCAGACTTATACTTACTCATTATTTTATTGCGTTTTACCCCTTTTCTTCCTGTTTGGTTATACACCTAGCCACTATTGTTTGATTTATTTATTTCCTTCTTTATTTAACTTCATTTTTACTTATTTTGCCCATGTATTACTTTTTAATTTGACTTTACTTATCATTCTCTTTCCTCTGTATATCCTAGCTTGGGAACGACACACCTGAGCCCCTAATAGGAGACATTGTTATCCCTCACTACGAGTTCAAAGAGATTAGAAAGACAACTCTCTTTCACTCAAATTGTATTTTTGTTTGATTAGTTGTGCAGCAACTAAAAACAACGCTCTACTCGTAGTTGGGCATAACAGCAACAGAGCCTGCTAGTGGACCCGATCCACTCAGTTTACTGTCTCCATCCCTTCTCTCCTGCTTTCTTTCCTCTTTCCTCTTCACAGGTGTAGGGACCTGTAAGAACCATCAATCAATTCTATGTGAATGAAATACACAATCTTGCCGAAGAAGACGAATCATCCTTATGAATTTGATTGTAATCAACCCCTCCTTCGTTCTTCCTAACCTCCCTACAATTGGCAATCCAAATTTTAGCATCTCATCCAACGCTGAGATCAATTTAATAGAGATAAGTGTTGAACAACTGTCACCTTCGCAGCCTCCCTGGTGAGCGGCCCAACTGTAAGGTGTATGGTTGTCAATCCTGTCAGACTAAGAAAAGAGATATCAACATTATTATTGCATTCTTTTGTCTAAAACAGAGATTTAATAATATTGTTTACCTTCTTGATAACAACATTCAATTGAAAAAAAAATTATAATAATTTCTCTAACTGAAAAGGAATTGTTTCTTTTCATTGAATTGTTTTCACCTTTTTCTCTCTTTTTCCTCTTCCTCATTAGAGTGACGAAGTCTTCGCATCTCTAGTCTACTTAGACACCCCGAGACCAACACAGTCATCAACACACTTCACACTTCACTAGTGGTTCACGATCACTGACACCACACTTAGTTGTCTCACCACACATAGGTTTCTACTCCACACAGATCTGTGTCAGTCTCTCTTCTCCCCAGCGTGTCAACATGCCGCAGACTGCAGACCCCATTGCCCATGGGGAAGATGTGAACACTTGGCTGAGAGGCATGACAGAGACATTTGAACTGTTATTATTTTTAATAATAATCCTAATCCTGAGAAGATTCCTGACACAAGATTCAAGCTAGAACAACAACCACGAGGAGCTAGTCAAGATCACCAGCTCCCTAAGCTATGCCTTCACAACCCAGCTGAAACTGAGCGACAAACACATCACCCACCTTCAAGAGGAGCTGACAAGTGCTCAAAGCCGCATAGACAAGCTAGAAGTGAAAGTTCAAGATCAACTCAAAGCACCCAACGAGAGGGAGCAGGAAACAACGGAACAAGTTAAGAAGCTCCAAGCAGCCCTGGCAGCAGCTCAGCTCGACCAACAACATGCAAGAAAGACCTGGTAAACAGACTACAGTATGCCGAACAGCTACTAGAGAAAGCCAAGAATGACATCAGAGACAAGAACGCTGAAATCAGTACCTTGGAAGATCACCTTGAAAGGTACATATCTGACCCAACAACTAGACGATACCAACGATGAGCTCTACATGGTCAGAAAATAACTCAAATATGCTTATGAGCTGAAACTAGAGCCAAGAAAAGAGAAATATCTCTGTCTCACCACTGCTGAGCAGAGCGGAGTCCCATTTCCAAGAACTGGCATATGACGAAAGGCGAGAAGGGCCACAACCCAAAACCTCACCTGCCTTCGCCACAAAACCCTTTGCTGCCAACAAAATAAAACCACCCATCCAAGCAGACCTTGGAGCTGTACATGGGATGACCATCAAAGACCTCAACAAGCTGTCTAAAACATCAGCAAGTTCAACCTGAACTCCACAGAGGGCCACGACATCCAGGCCTACCTGCAAGATATCGAGTTTCATCTGGAAATGAGACCTCATGTGACTGACAGAGACAGGTTATACCTCCTAAGAGCCACATCAAGTCCTGAGGTACGAAACTTCCTAGATCGACAGCCCAGTCAAACAAAGTCAAGCTACCAGCTACTTCGTGAGGTCCTGATTAAAGAGTTTACAGACCCTGAGTCTGAACATGGACTGTTAACTGCCTTGGAGATCAAACAAGGTCGACAAGAGGTTCCACAAGCTTACTACAACCGACTCCGACAAGCCTATTTTGGTGCACACCACAAACTTGACCTTGAAGAGGATGTGAACTTTAAAAGCCTCTTTCTAAGAAATCTGCACCCTGGAGTCAGCCACCATCTAGGCGTCATGGCCTGTCCACGCTCCATGACCATCCAACAGTTGCGTGACCTAACACAGAAGGCCTACAACAAGCAGAAGATGGCCTCAAAGAAGGGTAACAAAACATCCACACTCTTGAACTCTGTAACCAAAGACTCAAGCCTTGCACTGGACGACACCCAGTGGCATCACGACACCAGAGTCTTCCATCAAGAGCACAGAGAACGTGACCCCCATGTCCACGACAGCTTTCAGCCCAGCCGCTGGAAAAATCCATGGGAACAGCCACGCTTCTCAAGAAACCCAAAAGATAGGAACAACTGGAAACCTAACCAGACATCCAAAAGTAATCGCCTGACTCATCCAAGAGCAACTCGTGTGAGTAAGCGACAGCAAAACCCACCTCAGCACCACTCAGACATGCACAGTGCTGAGTATGCACAAGAACAAGACAGCTTACCGTCAGAAGACATGGAACAAGTCATGAGACAAATGAAAGAGTTCCTTCAAGAAAAGCTGAACATGGATGACCACAAAGTTGAGTCATGCTCGCTGTGACCAGCGACAGAACGGAAGGCCGATGATCACCTGATACACCACATCAGAGATGACAAGCACCTGCTCAACAACCACCCAGAACGAGCAAGTCTCTCACGGCCAACTGTTGATGAAAACTCTGAGGTACCAAAGAACATCACCTCAGTCACCCATCGTTCACTAACAAACTGTCAAATGAACTTCAACTCCAAGAACCACATTCCTGTCTGTGCAACAGCAACCACCCAAGCACAGAAGGTCAGAAAGTCTGCCACAACCAGAAGGCATCACAAGAGAAATGCAACATAGGAGACAAAGTTTGCACCCCAGCTTCACACAGCCATGCCAAACTAGCTCTGACTGTCTGCTAAAGAACTTCCTGCCTTGCTGGACTGACCCCCATTAGATCATGGACACGCCCTCATCCAAGCCAAGGATGCAGAGAGCCCGTCTTCACTGACATACAAGAAAAGGGGGGAGACAACACAGACTGAAACAGATCTGACCACACATACACTACACCATTAACACACACACAACATTACCTACACCCAGAGGTAACCACATCTACTGATAACACATTCAACTAACATTTTCTTCCCACAAGTAGAATATCCAAATTTTAGCGTAACATAAAGTTACATATGCTCACCATGAAGAAACATGCAGCCATCCTCACAATAGGTAGAACACCTGACACTAAGTTAAGGTACATGACACACTAGCTGCACATGACATCCTAGCTCAATAGTAGTTGTAAACCATGCTAGGAAAACCCACAGCAGCTTTGTTTTTGTTTTGTTTTTCTTTTACCTATCCTTTTCCTTCCCCTCCTTCCTTAGTAGGTGAAACACCTAGACACCCTGCAAGGGTCAAAGGTCTGATATTAAGATTGACTCATCACACCTAATATCTGCCAGCCACTCTAAACTGAATGGAAGCCAGAGAGCTCCATGCATGATAGGTCAATTCATTTCATTGCAAATGATGTTACTAGAAAATTAACGGTGAACGTTTTAAATTAAGACAACCTAGAAGAACCAAACAAAGTTAACCGCAAAATTTGATTGATGAATCAACGTACGGAACCAAATTAGAACAATTTCCAAATTGAACTAAAACATATTCAATTTACTAAACTATTTTGACTAATTGAACTTTACCACCTGTACCTAAATAACCTGATGCCTGCACCAGTACAGTAACTGTCATGGAGGTGTCTTGTTGTTTGCTGTGTTTGTCGGCTTCTTCTGCCTTTGTTTCTCCAGCGCTCGCCGATGTCTTCAGCTCAACACATCGCCGATCGAAGGGGGGATGTGTAGGGTATCAGACCGAATCAGACAATTTAAGATTTGATCAAGAACATAGTTGAAACACGAGGAGCCAAATTCCACAGATGCCCAAGACACAGGATGTTCGTAAATCAGATCCTGGCGACACAAGCCTGAACCAACTAGCAGCTTTGAGTAGCTCACAGCATTTAAAGAAAATAACACTTATTGACAATTCCAAGGAGATTGTGAATTTTGGGGGCAAGTAATCAAGATCAAATGGTCAAAGAGATGCACAGCATGACCATCACATTTGAACCAGTGATAGTAATCACGGTCACAAGCTCTTTGGCTTTACTTTTCCCCCCACCTCGACGACAAAGAACAGACTGAGATTCCTTACAGACCTTTTAACCTCTGGTCTTCACAGAACATGTCCTCATCCACAGAATGGAAGAGAAACTGCCTTTCCATGCACCTAAATGACACTAAAAGGACTGGTGACCAGCTAATAATTGCTATGCATAACT